ACCGCGCCGGCGGCGCATCCGCTGCAGCAGCCGCGGCCGCGCCAGCGCCCTCGCCCTCGGCGTTGGGCTCGTCCTCGCCGCTGTCATCAGCGCCGTCGTAGCGCGTCAGCCCCTGCACCGGGCGCTTCTCACCGCCCTCCGCCTCTGCAGGCGGCGTCGCCTGCCCGCCGGCCGCGGCCGTGGCTGCGGCGGCCGCAGGGGGCGCCGCCGCCAGGTCTGCGGCGAGCGCTGCGCCCGCGATGCTCGCGCGCGCGGCCGCCAGCGCGTGGCGCCGCGCGTACGCGGGGTCGTCCCCCTCGAGCTTGCACTGCAGCGAGCAGAACCGCGCGGCGCCGTCCATGAGCTGCCGCCCGTCCACCACGCAGCGGCTGGGGGCGGCGACGCCCTTGGGGGGCCGCGGCTGGGGGCGGGGGCGCAGGAAGAGGACTTTGGCGCCGTTGATGACGTAATGCTGGATGCCGGTGACGTCGGCCATGCGGCCCAGGTCGGCCGCCTTGACGACCTCGTGGTACGTGCTGCGGCGGATTTGCAGCAGGCCGCGCGGGGCGGCGGCGGCAGCGGCCGCGGCGCGGCCGGGGCAGTAGCCGCAGAGGCCGCGGGCTGCGGGGCGGGTGGGGTCAAAATAGGTCATCAGGACCTGGTGGTTGGTAGAGGGGGAGGGGAGGGAGGTGAATGTGGATGTGGTTGGTGGAGAGGAAGGGGGGCAGGGGCTCACGACGACGCAGCAGGCAGTAAAAACGCACGCAGCTTCCGGTAGATCAGGGGAAACTGAGCAGAGGCTGCTGCGGCCAAGCTGCCTCCCTGCCACACACGCATCCCCGTCGCACAACCATCCAGAGCTGCAGCGCGAACGCGTGCGACCTTGGGCGTCCCGCGCCGCACCCACCTCGCGGCCAGTGTGCGACGGGCTGCAGCTCGGGCAGGCCTTAAACAGCCAGGGGCAGGTCACCAGCGCATACTGCCACATGCGCACGTCGTCATCGTCGTCGTCGCCAGCAGCGCAAGCATCGGCGTCGGCCATTTCTGCGTCAACGCCAGCGGACTGCTGCTGTTCGTGGTGCTGCTCGTGCTGCTGCTCAGTCAGCAGCAGCAGCTGCTGCTGCTGCTGCTGCTCAAGCTGCTGCTGCTTCGGCGCTGCAGCGGCCGTCCCCGCCGATGCCGCCTCCTCCCCATCTGCAACCGGCGCAGCCGCGGAGCAATGGCGCCCCGCGCCTGCAAAGCTGCTGGCCTGGCTGTGGGTGAAGCTGCCGCTGCCGCATGCGGCGGCGCCGCGCGCACAGCATGCGTCAAGGGCCGGCGCGGCCGCAGCAGTGGCAACCCGTGGTGCGGGCTTGAAGAGGGGCAGGATGTCGAGAGTCACGGCGTGCGGCAGCCGCATGGCATCATCGGGCTGGTGGCAGGGCGCCGGTGCAGCAGCCAGGTAAGGGCTTGTCGACCGCGAGCCAGCGGCGCAGGCGAACGCCGCGGCATGGTGGTGTGCAAGGCCGGCGGCGGCGGCGGCGAGCTGGCGGCAGAGCAGTGTGGCTGCGGCGGGCCGGTCAGCAGGGAGCGCCATGCCAGTGCTGACGCGCTGTGGGTCCGACGGGTTGGTTGTCGGCATCGGCGCTGTGAGCCGGGACGGGCTCCCAGCGGCTAGAAATGCTTCTCGGAGCCAATGAACAACGCCTGCGAGCACGGGAGAAGCGTGTTGCGGGCCGTCGGGCAGCTGAAATGCGCGGGGAGGCGTCATTCGGCCCCACCAGACCTGCAGCCACAGCTAAGGCCTTGTTTCGTGACACAAATTCGTCTGGTAAGAACCCCGGCTCGCCAGGGACGATCCCCGCGGGCAGGGCTAGCGCGGGGTATGAGGTGGGCGGGCCAAGCAGGGGCGTCGCCACGCACCTGGTGGAGCTGTAAGGAGCAAGCTTACTCCGTGTTCCTTTGAGCGCACAATGGGCCCGCGGAGGGCGGCTGGGCAGCTCGCTCTATCACGGCGTGTTGTGGTGGTCTTGAGAGCGTCCAGTGTGCTCCAAGTATCTCTTGAACGCCAAAGCTCAAACTGACGTAGCAAACTGGGGCGCGGGGGCTTGAAAACAAACGTGGCCTTAGTTACCGAAGGGCAGCCGTCGTCAGCTGTGAGTGCGGAGCGGCCTTCCGCGGCGGAAACAGAATTGCGCTTACAGATTATGTGATATGAAAAGGGTCGGAGGCCTGCAGCGACCGGTGGACGGCCAGCTACGAGATGAACTCTGCGTGGAAGGCAATGGGGAGGTCGTCATCGCCAAAAACGTGAGATATGAGGCCCAATAAAAACATTGTCCACGCTCGAGGGGGCCCTCACCGCCGGACGGCCAAACATATCTTGGCAGGATATCTTTGGCACGGAAGCGCCTGGGGAAGGACCCTGTGATACTGCGTGCGTCGACAGGGCAGGAAAGGGCTGCTTGAAGCCCCTGGCCTTGTTCACAAGGTTTTTGTTTTTCTCAAGACGCATGTATCAGAAATAAACCATGTGGTTCAGCTGCTGTCACCCATCGCATGGAACATGGAAGCACAGCCGGCGAGCACGACGAAACTACAGCCTCAGGATCCGTTTCACCTCAGCCCTATCTTGTCTTGGCCCACATTGGCCCCTCTCCCAAGCTTTGAAGGAACGGTTGCGGGTGCACGGGCGCCACTGGGTCGGACGCCTGTGGTTCAGATTGGCTGGCCTGGCATCTCGCACCACTTGCCTTGGCACAGTCCGCTTTGCACCACGGACAGCGGCACGCAAGTCTGTCTGGTGTGGTGCGGATTCTGCAGCAACGTGCTCGCGGATTTGAATGAATTTGAGAAATCAGAGCACCCAGCCATCTCGCGAGGGCTTCAGACCAAAGTTGATGGCTTGCCTGCTTTTCCAACACTTCTGCTCACCACTGCTGCCTGGCACTCGCACGACAGCACAAAGGATGTTCCAATTGTATGATGCGATGCTTCTTCTTCTCTTTCAAACGAGCTTACTTGAATGCGGGTCTTGTGCAGATGTGTGGAGTTTGTGTGGCCTTGCTGCTTAAAATGTGCGCGTATCGGTAATCCACTGCAACACCAGGATGTTGGATGGCATGGAAGAGCCTGTACGCATCACAAGTTGAGCTCTGGCAGGCGTGGGGTACAGTCGCAAAGCAGTACCTGCAAAAGCGGTGGGTTTTGCGCCAGCTCAACTCGCTTGGTGGACGCAATCCCTTCCCTTGCCCAGCTACTTTCAAGAAAGCACCAGTTCCATTCAAGCTCGGTGTACTATATCACTTTACGTGTCGTTGTTTGGCACTGGGTACAAGCGCACGAAAGTAAGCGGCTTCAAGCACAGGTGCCCACATAAAGACAGTGTGCCCTCCGTGCTGCCCTGCACAGAGTGCGCTGCAGTCATGCAGGGGGCGTAACTTCTGTAGGGCGGGCGGCGCCGGCATTGAATGGGCTTTCGAAGCTGAGACGGGACTTTGATGACACCTTTTAAACCATTTATCGCAGTGTTGTAGCTCCATGCTGGTCCAGTGAAGCAACGTTGCCTGATCCCAACTGAGGTCGAGTGCAGGCATCCCCGCACACGTCTGCAAGGCGCAATCAGTAGTTCTATAGTCTTGAAGGCTGGTGATATGGTTGCTGTATCATCCATGCGTGTTGGGGGGCCTGTGGCACCTCGCACGCTCGCAGCCACAGGTGATTTGGCAAGGGTTGAGCGCCGGTTGGTTTGCAAACTGTAGTGTACGCAGCAAATGTCGAAGTGCGACGGTCGACCTGGAGCACAGCGTGCCTGCGCGTTGCTGATGCTTCGTCACCCCCTGTGGCGCTTTGGATGGTATTGCAGGCGCACGGCCGGCGCCTAGGCGTTGCATAGCGCGTGCCAGCGCACAGGCGCCAGCAACGTTGGTCCTCCCTGAGCAGCAGACGGACCTGAAGCAGCCCTACCGCGTGACAGGTGTCTGGGGCGTGAAACACGGCGTGCTCCATACCCGCCCTGCTTGCCTGGCACTGCTGGATCAGTCAAACAGTGGAAAAAAGTTCTGGCGACAGCTCATGCATGCGGCTTGGGCACACCTTTGTGATTGGGTGGCAGCTCCCTCACCTCCATCTGCTCTGCCCACATGCGCCCCTCCAAACTTCAAACAACGTGAGCAGCCGAGACCATCAGCGACGTGCAGTCGCTGTACCAGTCGCTGCTGTACGAGTATGACTACGAGGTGGAGCAGGCCTGGGTGGGTGTGGGGCCAGGGACCGCGACACACACGTGCAGCACAGGCGTGTCGGTGTCAGGAAGGACTGCGTGTCAAAGCTTCAATGCAGTTGAAAGTTTCAATGCAGGCATGCCTCTGCCAGGGCAAAAGGGGCCCAGGGTTCAGCAGCGACGGGCGGCCGCAGCGATGGGCGGCGCTGCTGGAGGCGGGGCGCGGCTCTTTGTGGCTGGGCCGGCCGGGTGCAGGGAGGGCGCATGTGCGCTCTGGCGCACGTGGCAGGCGGCGCGGCCGCAGCGGACGCCGCCCTTTTCAACCGATGCGTTACATCATGCGCGCACAGGCAAAGTTGGGCCCACGTCCGGTTCAAACCGGTTGGTAACGCCCTCGCCGCTGCAGGTGGAAGGCACCATTCCCTCGGACCTGGTAGGAACATACGTGCGCAACGGCCCCGGCCTCCAAGTGAACAGCGGCAAGACAAAGCGCCACACGTTTGACGGTCAGCGGCTGGCAGGGCGCTGCTGCGCCTCCCGCGCGCAGCTCGCGCGTGGCAGCTGTCAAATAGGGGTTGCAAACAACGCGGTTTGGAGTGGGGGCCCCTGGCTCATGCTCGGCCGCCCTTTCAACCTGGCCGCCCCAGCAGCCGCCCGTCCGTCCGCTGTCACGCCGCCCTCATTTTGCAGAGCAGCAGCACACCCCTCCGTGCGCCCGGCCCGCCGCACCTCCCGCTCGTGAGCCACCTGTGCGCGGTCGCCCTTTGACCTGCGGCTTGCCCCCTTTCTCCGCCATCCATCTTGACAGGCGACGGCATGCTCCTGCAGTTCACATTCCCCGGGGGCGAGGGCGGCCGGGTGCGCTTTAAGAACAAGTTTGTGCGCACAAAGGGCTTTTTGGAGGAGCAGGTGGGTGCGTGGCTGGGTGACAGTCCACCCATGAGGAGGGATAGCTTGCTCGCGTGCGCACGTGCGTGCGTGTGTGCGTGCGTGCGTGTGTTCGTGCGTGCGTGTGTTCGTGCGAGCGTGTGTGCGTACATGCGTGTGTGCGTGCGTGTGTACGCGCATGCGTCCATGCGAGTGCATGGGTGCGCGCATGTGACTGCGTGCACTTTCGTACGCATCGCGAGCGCAAACGTGCGCTTGGTGCGCGAGTGTGGAAATGTAGCATAATGGAGGGCCGGGGAACGCAAATCCATCTGGTTTCACGGGGATGCTTATCAGTGAACGCCTGGCCGTTTCAATTTGTCGCGCAGGACCCCCTTTACAGCACACTGCCAGCATCTGGTGTGTTTGCTTGCCGCAGCTCTTACAGACGCACTGACACTCCTTCCCCCCCTCATCCCGCCTTGCCTCCCCCCCCCCAGGCCGCCGGCCGCCCCACCCTCCGCACCGCCTTCACCCGCGGCTCCGTTGATGGAAACCCCTTCTTCAACCCCTTCGACTTCAACCTCAAGAACTGCGCCAACACCGGCGTCCTCGCCTGGGCCGGGAAGCTTCTCGCCCTCTATGAGTCAGGCCTGCCCCACGAGCTCGACCCCAGGACCCTCGAAACAGTGGGGGAGAGCACTGTGGGCGGCCAGCTAGAGACGCCCGTCCTGGCCGCGCACTACCGCGTCGCCCCGCGGCGCGGCGGGGACGGCAACGGCGACGGCGGCGGCGTGCGCGACTGGGTCGCGTTCTCGGCCAACACGGGGCTGTCCGGGACGGAGCTGATATTCTACGAGTTCGAGGAGGGTTCCGGGAAGCTGCGGCACTCGCCCACGCGGGCGGTGCTGCCGGGCACACGGATGGTGCGTCCCCCACACTCCCCCGCCGCCCCCGTTGCCGCAGTGTTCTTTGCACGAGCTGCCGTTTTCGGCCTGATGTTTTGCACTCACGCGCCAGCCCGGTGCCGTCTGCCGTCAAATGGTGCTACCTTTGTCAAAATCGTCCTCGTCACACCTGACCCGCATCACGTTGACCGGTCCCCCAACCGCCGTCAACCGCCACCCACCTGCAGGCCCTCGTCCACGACATCGCGGTGACTCAGGATTACTACGTCGCCCACGTGGGCCCCCTGGAGTTCTCGGGCGCCAAGTTTGTCACCGAGTACTTCACGTCCCGCTGCTCCATCGCCGAGTGCCTGCAGTACACCCCCGACAAGCCCTCCAAGATATGGCTCGTCCCGCGGCCGACCGGCACGGCGGGTGGGCGGCCGGACGCGCGGGCGGGCGCGGGGCGTGTGCGAGCGGGGCGCCGTCTGTTTGCGCTTGTGATTGCTGGCTGGGGGCGGGGCGGCGCTGCAGACTTTGGGCCACGCTCGCGCCTTGCGCCCTGGTAACGGAAGGAGCCGCCAAACTCTGTTGAGGAAAGCCACGCCTCTCCCCTGCACTGCACGCTCCCACATTGATCTGTCACATTGTTCTTGAAACCGCACACATCAGCTTTTGAACCTTCTCCCTCCAATCCACAGCCGGCCAGGAGCCGCGCGTCATCGAGGCGCCGGCCACTTTCGTGTTCCACCACGCCAACGCCTTCCAGTCCACCACACAGGACGGCCGCCAGACGCTCACGCTGTGAGTGCCCTTGCCGGCCGCCGGCCGCGCACACGCCGGGCGCCGGCTCAGGGTGGGAGGTGGGGGAAGGGGGCGCGAGAAAACGCTGAGGATCTGGGGGTCCTGCCCTCTGGGCTCGTTTTGCAGGCTGCGGGGCCAATCCTGTTGGTCTTGGCGTTGCAGACTTTTCTGTACCTTTCACCAAGAATCCAAAAACAACTTTCTGCACATGGCTGTCGGAGCACCACACCAAAGCACCACCCTCCTCATGACCTCTTGCCTGCCCCTCTTTTCGCATGACCCCCTTACCCC